GCTTGGAGGGGTGGCCGGACAAGGTGGTGCACAGGGATCTCCAAAACTCAGCTCCCGAACCGCGGGGGCTGGAGGTGCAGTCCCGCCAGCGGAGGCTACAGAGAGGCCCCAGGCTCCCACCTCCTTTTTGAGACTCTGTGCCCCTACGTCTTGTCCTAGAGCTGCGCTTCTTCACGTCGGGTCTGCGCTTCTTCACGTCGGGTCTGGGCGGGGGCTTGGGCGGGCCCCCGTGATCTAGGACCGCGTCCCACGCGTCCCACTTCCCGCCCCACGTCTCACGAGCCTCAAACCAGCGCAGGGCAAGCTCTGCCCGCTGGGAGCGCGTGGCCTGGTCGTCAAGAGCCGCAGAGACGTAGCTCACCTCTCTCATGATTTCCTCCTGGTCCACGCTCGCAACGAGGCATTTCTCGAGGCGTCGGACTTCCGCTTCCTCGCCGAGCAGCTGCTTATCGAGAAGCTCGATGCGGGCGCGCTGGTGCGAGCGCTCGGCCTCAAGCAGCGCATCCTCGCGAGGCCGCTTGGTGGGAGGCCGCTGGGCCATCTGAGCAGCCGCGAGGCAGGGAGCGTCCTTGTCCACCCACGCGGCGGGCTTTTCCAGAAGCCATGCCTGCACGCATCGGAAGGCCTTGGAGGAAGTCATGATAGCTTAAAGTGGCTGCGCGGGTTTTTTTGAGACCATTTGAGCATTTGGGACCATTCGAGCATTTGGCGGGCTTTTTTTCTTTGCGCGAGTCCAAGCTCATCAGAGCGTTCGCCTGCGAAGATTTCTGTTCTCTTCCTCGAGGACCTCGACGCGGCGCTCCAGCCGCCAGCGGAGAATGTCGATGCTGCGCTCCAGCTCCCCAACGCGCTCCTTAGCCAGCGTCGCTCGCTCACGCTCTTTGTCAAAGAGCTCGTTGAAGCGGTCCAGCCTCCAGCGGAGAAATCTGTTGTCGCGCTCCCGCTCCTCGCAGCGCACAGTTTCGCCGCGGATCTCCTCATAGAGGCGATCGATGAGACGCCGGTGGTACAGACGCTTGGCCTCGAGCAGCGCATCCTTGCAAGGCCGCGCGGGAGGCCGCTGGGCCGCAAGGCAGGGAGCGTCCTCGTCCGCCCACGCGGCGGGCTTCTCCAGAAGCCATGCCTGCACGCATCGGAAGGCCGCCGAGGAAGTCATCTTGAGCAGCTGCGGCGGATCGAATAAGCATTATCGAGAAAGCGAGAAAACGAGAGCTCGGGATCTTTTTCTAGCGCGTCCTCAAGCTCATCAGCGCGCTCGCTCGAGGATCTCGCCGAGGCGCTCCACCCGCTGGCGGAGAATTCTGTTGCTGCGCTCCAGCTCCCCAACACGCCGCTCCGCCAGCACCGCTCGCTTGCGGGTTTTCTTGAGGTACTCGTCGTGGCGGTCCAGCATCCGACGGAGACATTTGTTGTCGCGCTCCCGCTCCTCGCCGCGCAGAGTTTCATCGAGGAGCTCCTCATCGAGTTGCGCGATGAGATGCCGCTGGTGCGAGCGCTCGGCCTCAAGCAGCGCATCCTCGCGAGGCCGCATGTAGGGAGGCCGCTGGGCCATCAGAGCGGCCGCAAGGCAGGGAGCGTCCTCGCGGCGGGCTTTTCCAGAAGCCATGCCTGCACGCATCGGAAGGCCGCTGAGGAAGTCATCTTGAGCAGCTGCGGCGGATTGAATAAGCATTATCGAGAAAGCGAGAAAGCGAGAAAGCGAGAAAACGAGAGCTCGGGATCTTTTTTTTCCGGTTCCGACTGTCTACGCCCAGCATCGGCTCAGCCGCAGCGGCAGTGTCGGAGCGGGCCCCAGAGGCGGGGGCCCCGCGAGGAACTCCATCACGAGGTCGAAGGGCGCGGAGCCTGGCGGAGCGTAAGCGCCCAGCATCCGCAGCTGCTCCAGGTTGCGCCAGTGTCCCAGCGGGCGCGAGTTGTGAGCGTCGATCCCTCGAGGCCGTAGACCTTGTCGTTGAAGGGCGAGAGGGACTTCTTCTCGACGGTCTCCACGGCGATCTCGTGCGCGCGGCTGCGCAACTGCGCGAAGGCCGCCCTGCGCTCGCTGCCTTCCTCCAGCACATCCCTGTACTCGAGATGCCGGACGTTGGTCACCGCCTTCTTCGGCACGCCCTTGATCTTGCGCTTCTCCTTGCGCGCGCCGTCGGGCTGGACCGTGAGGATGCTGTACATCTTGGAGCGCAGGCCGACGTACTCCAGGATCCTTGCGGGGACGGTCTCGTCGCCGAGCTTGCCCAGCTGGCCCATCACCTCGATGGCCTTGGCGCGCGCCGCTGCCGAGAGCGTTCTGGGTGAGCTTCACCACCTTCTCGGCGACCACGCTCCCCGCCGTCTTGAGCTGCCTCCGCTCGCTGTGCTTGAGCTCCATGAAGCCCGCCATGAAGGGGCTGCAGGCGAAGCGGTAGGCTCTGTGCAGCCTCCAGATCCTGGCGCCCAGCACGTCCCGCAGGAACTTGAGCCGCTTGCCGTCCACGCCCTCCTCTACGTGCATGCCGAGGAAGGGCACGAGCTTCTCGCAGGGCGACGGGGAGAGGCCGAGGCGCTCCGCCATGTCCGCGTGTGCGGCCCGTACAGGCCCTTCCCGACCTTCATGCGCGCGGGGGGAGCCCAGTCCAAGTGGTCGTGCACCTCCGGGGGAAAGTCGTAGTCCACGAGGAGCAGGTAGCTCACCTCCTCGGAGTCGGACTCCCAGTTCAGCCCCGAGAGGCACGTCTCGTGCAGCCAGCTCAGCCTTGCGGCGTTTTCTTCTGGCAGGGCGACCGTCACGCAGGGGCCGTTGGGCATGGGCGCGTTGCGGCCGGGTACATGGCGTTGAAGTCCAAGTACGAGATCCAGCTGACGGGCTCCTCGGGGTTGTAGTCCTCCTCGCCCAGCTCGGGGTTGTTGGCTTGAGCGAAGGGCTGGAAGACGCAGCTCAGCCCACCCATGACAGAGGCCCGCACGTCCGCGTAGGCCTGCTCGGCGGTGATGAGGTGAATGGGAGTCTCGCGGGCCGAGTGCCGCAGCATCGCGTCCCAGGCGGCTCCGGGCAGCGTGATAGGGTCAAGCCCCGACTGCGCCCGGAAGGAGTCCCGGTAGCTCTCCATCACGTCCGCCAGGGCCAGGACGTCAGTGTGGAGGTAGCAGTCGTGGAACTTGCGGAAGGTCTCCCACCCCATGAGATTGGCGGTGTTGACGGGCCGGTGGTCCTCTGCGCTCACCGCCTTCCCAGCCAGCACGCTGTCGTAGCAGTGCTGCTCCCACACCGCAGGCATCTCCCACGAGTTTCGTCCCGTGCCGTTTTTTGGCCCTGGGGCCAGAAAAAAGAGGCCTCAGATCAAAAAACTGTACAGCCAAAAGCATAAAAGGTTTATGACAGTATCGTCAGCTGGACCACACGGCCTTGAGCCAAAAATCACAACCAATCGAACGTACGAATTCAAACAAACAATAAACCAACAACCGGCAAACAAATTTAACCACGCAGCAGGCAATCAATCAAGCAACAGCAAAGCGAACAACGCAAAGCAAAGCAATAATGCAATGCAACGCAAGCAAAGCAAAGCAAGCAAGCAAGTTCAGCCAGCAATTGCTATCGAGAGCAAGCAAGCACGCAACTATAGGCAGGCGCGGGCAGTTATAAACAGGCAAACCCGTTGGGCAGAAAAAGCCACAGACCCGTTGGGCGAACCAGTACTAAAAAAAAAACTCCCCAGACCCGTTGGGCGAACCAGTACTTAAAAAAACCGAACCCAGCACCCGTACGTTGGGCGGACCAGCCAGAAGCAAGCAACAAATCATAACAAAACGTGCTGTTGACACACGTTGCGGATCATACAACAACTATAGTGTACGTAGATATACGTGTATCCGGATGCAAACAAAACGCACCACCCTATAAAATTTAAATGCGCACACGTCACATATTTTAGGTGGGATCTTACTTCGAGAACAGAATTGATTATTTGATCATCACACTGCATGCATGCTCAGAGCAGTGCGTGTGCCGAAAAACATGAATTTCAATCGATCAACAGATTAGTCCTTGACAATTTGACAGCTTTGTGTTTCGCCAAACGTAATATATGTAGAGGGGTTGGGGGCATAATGCAAATACACCATTGTTGCATCGATCCACCAGCTCTTTTTTTCCCAGCCCATCCGTTCCTGCGTCAACTCCGCATTCAGTCGCAGCAGGCGTCTTTGCAAAATGCGTTTCGCAAGGCTAGCAGCATGTACAGCTCCCTTAGCTACACCGCACACCTTACCTACTAGGTCCTCTTCTCCAAAACATGAAAAAATCTTTGGATTGAGGAATGACTCACGGACAACTAATTCACACAAGAATGAGTGAAACTTCGGGCGCAGCTTGTACAAAGGCATGCCTGCCTCAAGCGAGGCCGCAGCCTCCTTCATGTATGCTTGAGCATACAACATCCCCAACCTGAGTCAACCACGCACGCCCGGAAAACTGAAAAGCCAAAATTGCAGACGCCGCGCGCAAACGAAGTTCTGATAATGCTGGCAAAGAACTGTCTGGAGCGTTCGCGCTGCTCCTGTGTCAGCCAGAGCCCGGCAGAATCCACCTGCGTGGACCACTCGTTGAGCGCCCACACAATGACACTTGCGTAGGCCAGCTCCGGCACATCGGTGTCCTAAGCTCATCGTGTGCATTTTTTCAGCCGTTTGCTGAAAAAGCTATATTGCTCCAAAAAGGGCCTTTTCCTTTTAAAAGTGCTGCTTCAAAATCTTGCCAAACCGTGGTCGGCAAATGTCGCTTTTTGGTCGGGGAATGTCGCCTTTGGGTCGGGCAACGTCGCATGTTCGTCTTCATCCTGGTTTCGCAAAACAGCAAAATATGCAAACATGCACTGAGGCAAAAAAATGTGTCGTTTGCCCCAAAAGGAGCCTTTGGCCCAAACAGCACAACAAGGGCATACTTATATAGGAGGGCCCAGGTATATGCCTGATATTTTGTAACAGCAGGTGCGTCAAAACGTACCATGTACGTGCTTTGCCAATTCCTGACCAGCGTCAGCCAGCAAGTGTGCCAGGTAGCAAATCCTGAGTAATTCAGTACTCAATTTGTAATCAAATGCACACAAATGAAAACATGCATCGATATACCCCTCTGTTTGATAATGCAGCTAAACGGCAACACTTTGTTGGCCCACCCCTTGCTGTACCCAAGCGGGTAGTCCAGGGACACTGTCTCAACGCCCAGTTTTTGCAGCGACAATTCCTCCACGCCGCTGGTGTCCAAGCGATGTCGCTTGCACCAGTCCCACAAGCCCAGCGTCAGCTCGTGCAGGCGATCGTCGTAGGTCTTCATGTGCTGAAACTTGGGCAGCCACCTCGCAGCCAACATGCAAATTGTCCCTGCTGTGTCCCGGCCAATCCCCAGCCACACACGTGGAGCACATCTGGCCACTCCATTTCTGGAGTCCAGCCGCGCAGGTTTCACAGTCTTGGCTGCTTTGCCGAGCTCATTTTCAATGAGTCATATATACAGCCAGCCCATGGTAGCCGCCTCATTTTCCTCTCCCGCCTCCACCCAATCAAACTCGAGCACATGTATACGTACTGCAACATGTTTCTTGTTTGGCGGCATCCATTCATAAAACCAAGCGCACACGTGCCGATCGTCATGACAGCATCCATCGACCAGCTGGGTGTGATGCTCAAAACAACTGATATTCAAAATGTCCGCGTCAAATTGTTGAGACGTGTTGGTTTTAAAAGCGTTGCAAGGGTCTTTAAGATTTGAACACAGCGAAGTTCAAATCCATCATGGTCCATGTGTCAAAACACCATATGACATACGCCAATATGGCTGCTGACAAGAAGCGCGATGGATCGACCAACGCCTTGAATGAATGCACTGGCCGCCCAACCACAAAAATTACTGGGGTGACAGCCGACAGCAGCGCAAACCCTAAGCCTATCGATCAGCCGCACAGTATTAATACGTACATGTTTGGGCAACGGGGTACCATTACCATATCTGACAAGCAGCCACTGATCACGGCTCCGCGACCTCGGTCGGCTCGTTCCAGGCGCACTGCACCGTGTCTGTCCATGGGCGATCATGCCGACCCGCGTAGCCTTGGATTCCGAATGCATGCTCTTGTTTGCGGCAAGTGTCAAAAGGTTGTTTCAACCATCGGCTTGAAAGCCAAGCAGCAGCGCCGGCAAATGCCATCAGCTCGGCCATAATGCCGGGGCTCGCACAAAAATTCACGTTTCCACTTCCAGTCACCTTTTCCGGCGACGAGGTGAAGGGTGTGGCCACCCAATCTCTCCTCTGCTGGTGGTGCAGCAAGCTCGTTGAACATCCTGCGCCAGGGAACGAGACAATGACATGTGTAACACGGAATTGAAACACACATGGATCGAAACTCAAATGGCATATACGGTCCGCACTATGTGGCGCTGCATGTGCTGCACCGTGAGGTTGCATGCCCCGTCGAACGCGTGAAGATGGCTGGGGATTACCTTGGTACAAGGACATGTCTAAACAAAAAAAAGAAGTGGGCGCTCGCGTGTGACCTGTGCGTGCAAAACCATACGTGCAGCAGTGTTCGCATGTCAGCCAAGGGTCGGCGAAAACGAACTTCGACCGCCAGTGCGCCCCATGTGTCGCCAGCGGGGAAAAGCTCAGAATCAAGATGTTCTTCCGGCGTTTTCCTTCTCCTTCATCCCCGCGCAAAGTGCAAACAGCTGCGCGAGCTCGATCACGCTCGCACCAGCTTTGTACTGGATGCGACCTAGATTGGTTTGGTGACCCGAGTACTAAAAAAGTCCTTGGGGGCAAACATGTTCTACGCAAGACTGTTTCATCAACTGGGCAATACCATATGTTGGATCAAGGGCTTCAATTGACACACGTGAGAAAAAACTTGCAAATTGACATGTGTTGTGGCAAAGGGACGGCCCCCACTTCTCGTTGCGAGCTTGTTCCCAGAAGCTCCGCCAGTCGGTGTCGCCAGTCCTTGCGCGCGCAGCTCGAGAGACATGTGCTGTGTTACGGAAAGACCATGTTTTAATTTGGCGAAACAAATTGATGGTTGTCGCAATGATGTATATCCATCAATCTCATTTGAAGGCCGTCCAATCGGAAAAACAATTCGACGTGGCAAGCGACTGTGTGCAATGCTCAACTTGCGCAAGCATCGTTCCACACAAAAACAAGTTCCATTTTCTGATCTGAGGTGGACTCTAAGATAGCGGCAGCCCTCCTGGGCGCAGTCACCACGGCAGCCCTGGACGCCGCCCTCCTTGGCAAGGCGGACGCAAGCGCGCTGGCCTCCCTGCTCTCCACGGTGGACGGGTTGGACACGCCGCTGGAGGTAGACACCAAGATAGCAAATGCCCTGCTGGGTCTCGCCACCGAGGCCTTCGTCGCAGCGCAGCTTGCTAGCCGGGACGGCGCTCCAGGGGGCCAAGGCCGACGCGACGCTGCTGGCCTCATACGCCACGAACGCCGCGCTCTCGGCCAGCGAGACCACGCTCCAGAGCGCCCTCGACGCAATCCTCGAGCTCGCCGCCCTGCAGCTTTCCGGCAGCGGCGGAGTTGTTAACGCGCCGGCCTGGGCGGGCTTCACGACTTGGGAGCTCGTTCGCGGAAGCAACGTCGTTCGCAACCTGCATCTGGGGGCTCCTCTCTCTGCTGCGCTGGCCAACGGCGACGACACGCTGAGCATCACGGCAGACTGCTCCTCCGTCGCAGCAGCGGACGCGGCCCTCGCGGCTGCGCTGCTGGCCTACTACACCTCCTCACAAGTGGACACTCTGTTGGGAGACTACCGAACCGGAACGGCGCAGGACGCGGAGACGACCAGCGCCATCACGGCCGCGCTGCTGGCCTACTACACCTCCTCACAAGTAGACGCGCTGTTGGGAGACTACCGCGCGGCAAGCGCGCAGGACACGCAGACGCAGGCGGCCATCACGGGCGCGCTGCTGGCCTACCGGACGGGCCCGGACCAGGACGTGTTCACAACCAACCAAATCACCTCGGCGCTGGTGGCGTACCGCCCAGCCGCCGACCAGGACACGGCAACGGCCTCAAGCATCGCCGCCGCCCTGCTCAGCTACTACACCATCGCACAGGTGGACGGCCTCCTGCGTCCCTGCAAATAGCAGTGCGCTTTCCGGACGACGGAGGGGCCGACGAGGTGGTGGCCGCCATAGGAGAGCAGATCCTGGGCCCCACGGACGTCTCACTGTCAAACTGGACGGTTCGCCCCAGCAGCGGCTGCAGCGTGGTCCTGGCCACGCACACCGGGGCGCAGTGAGCGTGGACGGCTACACCCTGACCCTGGCGGTGAACCCGTGGAACATCGTGCGCACCTACAACTTGACCCCGGGCCGAGAGCTCCTCTTCGCCTGCCGGTACCGGCTCGGCACGGCCTCCAACTTCGTGGCGCACATGTCCGAGGCAGACAACGTCTACAACCCCCTGTACGGCAGCTTCGTGGGCGACCAGGCGCCTGGAGCACGGCCAAGATGTACTTCACAGTGCCTCCGAACGGGGTGGCGAAGCTGCACTTCGGGCCAGGCGCCGGGCCTGCCCAACCAGACGGCAGGAACGGTGGACGTCTACGGCCTCCAGATCCTGGACGCAACCCTGGAGGCCGGCAACACGGCGGAGGTGGAGGAGGACACGGTGGCCTCGGCCCTGCTGCTGAAGCACGAGTTCCTCGACGGAGGGGCCGACGACGTCACGCTGGCCACCCTGGGCAAGGTGCTGCTGCAGCCCACGCTCACCACGCTTGGCAATTTTCTGGTGCACCCATATCTCCATGGCCTCGGCCAGCTTCACGGCGGGAGGCTTCCAGCTGGAGGGCTACGCCATGACCCTGAGCGCGGCCGACAACGACTACGTGGGCGTCACCGGCACCTTCCTCGGCACGGCCTTGCAGCTGGACTTCTCGGTGCCGCCGGAGTCGCAAAGCTGCACTTCGGAGCCTTTGGCGGCTCGATCCCCGGGCTGGTGCAGCAGTCGGCGGGCACGCTGGACCTGTACAGCATGCAGATCAGGGCCTCGGCCTTCAAGGGAGAGTCGGTCTCCGTGACGGACCTGCTGGCGGACTCGCGGCCCTCACGGGCTCGGCCACGCTGGACGGGCTCACCGCGCAGGGCAACGTGGGCTGCGACCAGCTGCTGTGCAACGACGTGAACTGCACTGACGTGTTCACGACGGGCGTGGACGCCTCGGGCGCCATTTCCTGCGCAGCGCTCACAGCCACAGGCACCGTCGCCGGAGCCACGCTGTCGTCCACGGGCGCTGTGTCAGGCAGCTCGCTGAGCATCACCGGGGCGGCCAGCGTGGGCCTGCTGAGCTCGGCCCCACGTCACTGGGCCGACCGATGATCTGCGGAGGCGGCTGCGGCTGCGCAGACGGTCCGTGATGGACGGCGGGCCCGCCGGCCTCGGGGTCTCCTGCCAGGTCGTCCTCAACGAAGCGGGTTCCGCCGTAGCCTTGGTACCTCCGCGCCAGCCACGTGGCCTCGGCGGGAGTGCAGGGGCGTGTGCTGCAGAGGCCGGGGGTTGGGGTCATGCTATATGTGCTATATGTGCTATATTGTTCTGTACGCGCTTTAAAATATACTATATGTGCTATACAATGCATATTTGGTACATGTTGGAGATGCTATGTGTATAGTACACAGGCTTCTATACCATATAGCACATATAGCACATATAGCATGGAGCTGGGGGAGAGTGGAGGTTCAGCGGGTTGCCTTGTAAGAGCCATATAGCACATATAGTACATATAGCATGGACCCGGGGGAGAGTGGAGGTTCAGCGGGTTGGGGGCCATATAGGACATATAGCACATATAGCATGGAGCTGGGGGAGAGTGGAGGTTCAGCGGGTTGGGGGTCATATTGCAGCGCGTCGCCCAACTGTGCGTCTTTGGGCAAGGCGGCCTCACGAGCGTGCCCGGCAAGGGTGCAGTGTGCCAGAGCGGCAGGGGGCTTGCAACGATCTGTACGCGTTCGGTCGGGCTTGTGCCTGGTCTGTGCCCTCAAAAGGCAATTTGTTGTCATAGTTGCACAGCCGTTCGTACAACGCCCTCAAACTTTCTCCGCCATGGAATCGCCTTGTCAGACCCGCAAGCTGTCTTTGATCATAGCCACTGTGCAATCACTTCCCACGAGGATGCAGCCTTTCAGCACGCGCATCCATCAAGGCAACATCAAGCAGACGAGCCTTCCTGAGATCCCGGAAGGCAGATCTTCACCGTATCTCGTCAAGAATTGGTTTTGGACGGACGCAGGTCCGAACAGCAGATGATCTGGGCATCACGTGCAGGCACCTTCACGTCGTTGTAGCGACATTTGATGGTCGCTGGCAAATCGGGCGACAGACCGAGGAGATGCTTCAGCGTTTCCACTCCCCCGCCTTGGGCGCCGATGTTGCTGCTGCTGATCTGAAGCTCGTCCAGGAGCAAAGGCCTCTCGTCACGCAGGAGGTTGCGCTCAACCGCGGATCGCAGCATGTCCGGGCTGGACACCATGACGAACTCGTCCAGACCCACGTCGCGGGCCACCATGGCTGCCAGGCAACTTGCCAGGGGAGTTTTCCCCTTGCCGCTGTCTCTGTAGAAGATCAGAGTCCTTCGCTCGTCGCGAGCTCGCCCGTAGGCCTCGAAAAAGTCCAGTGGCTGCTTCTGGTGGACCTCGGGGTTGTACCACCAGCAGTTCACGGTGCTCTCGTTGATGACGAAGTCGGTCATCAGAAGTTGGCGATGGCGCGACACCAACAGGCTCTCCGTTTGCAACTGGTCGTCCTGGAGTTGCTTGCGGAGCTGCAAGAGGGCCCTGCTCTGCAAGTGCACGAACTCGTCCTCACTGTTCGGCGGGCGCTTGCCGGTGTTCAAGGCCTTGTCGCCTCGGAAGGTCGTGTCGAGCTTGATGAGATGGCTCTGGAACTCGGACGTCGTCATATCGTCGTAGTTCTTCAAAACCCGTCGTGGGGAGAACTCTGGCGCCGGAGGTTCGTTTGCTGCAACAAGGCCGTCGTACTCGCCCCGACTCATGGCCCGCATGGTCCCCTTCATGGTGGGCTTGTGGAAGAAGACCCACAAGTTTGCCCCTCTTTCGGGTCGAAGCACAACGTGGTGGCCGACGTCAGGAGGCTGAGCTTGGCCCACGAGGCGCCACGCCATCCAAGCGCAACCTTTGCCCTGGTACTTGTCGTCCCCCACCCTGTAAAGGCACTCCAGCAGTTCTGCTTCGGACACACCCGGGCCTGTGTGGCGGAACTCACAGGGAACCAGAACCTGGTTGCTGCTGTGGAAGATGGGAGCGGCGTTGTTCCTCATGAAA